CTCTCTCTCTCTCTCTCTCTCTCTCTCTCTCTCTCTCTCTCTCTCTTTCTTTCTCTGTTACTTGAAAGGTTCAGATTTACAGACTTCCATTCATTGATTTATGATTCTCGTTAAAGCCTTCATAATGTAGGCGATATGCTGTTTTCTCTTTCGTAACTTTGCCTTCTGGCGATTCAGATACCCTTGGTTGACTGGAAAAAGAGGGCTTTTCACTGATTTGGAAAAAGAAGGAAAAGAGGGGGCAAAAAAAAAAGTTGGTTTTTTCCTTGATCCTCTTTTATCTTTTGCCTACTCTCCAATTGCCTCAAAAGTATGTGGTAGGAACTGCACCAACCTTTTCAAAGTTGGGACTCCATACTGTGATTGGAGAGAGAGAGAGGAGGGGGGAGAGAGAGAGAGAGAGAGTTATCATTACTTCGCCTTTAAGCCTATGTTTTTCCTTTCCTTTCCCCACCCTTTTTGAGTAAGAGAGAGAGAGGAGGGTGGGTTTGTAAAATCAGCCTTCATTGCTGGGAGCTTGGTATCTTCATGGAAAATGATTAAAACACTCTCAAAAACTTTTTCTTAGGGATTGGAATATGCATATCCCACTTCAAATCTTGTCTGAAATCCCCATCATATCCTCTCTTTTTGGCCACCTATCTTTATGGATTCTTTTATACATCCTATATCTATAGTCCTAACGAGACTAGCATGTAGTATACACCTTACACTTAGCACTCTGTGGTTAGGGTATGCCATGGGGGCATCAATTGTGCATTCCCTTCAAGGTGAAGGTGCCTCATGAGGGGAGCTAATGTTGATCTCCAGGGCTGGCAGCAGGCTAGGTGTGGGCTTGGGCCCAGTGCCGTCTCATGGGCCGGGCCAAATACAATCTGGGGGGGGGGGGAAGGAGGAAGAATTATTTTTTTGGTTTTTTCGCGATCTTGACCTTGGCTTGGCCCAGCGGCCCTGCCCTAGGGCCACATCTTTTGGCCCCAGACCTTGTTTTTTAAGGTGGGCTGCCTAGCCCATTGCTTCCTCTATTCATCTCCACCCTCTGCATGCATGTGAGGGTATTTTTGTAAACTTTAACTCCTTAAAATGAATAAATGTTTGTGTAAATGTTAACTGAAACAAACTTGTAGTAAAATGCCCTTACTATGCAACAAGTCTTAATGTTTTGAGTCTACATTGCGGTTGCTTTTGTTGTAACGCCTGTGTTTGTCACTCTCTTGCCTTCAAGGTTTTCAAAATCGGAAACCTTTCTACCCGTCTCCCTATATATGTGGTCATATAATTGATATGTGTATGGATATCCACATACGTATGAACATGATCTGATGACTAGAGTGATGAGAACTAGCTCTTTTGTTAGGTTATAATTAATATGCGATATTGTTGTCCGCTCACTTCTAGTTGTCTAGAGATAGTTGGATTTCCAAACATATATAATAATGTGCTAGCTATTTTAGAAAGACATTATTATCTTGCTCATATGGGCATTGTAACAGTAAACATGTGTGTGGTTGTCTCATAAAGGATTTTCCAATCCTTTTTTACAGAAGAAAAAATACTTTTGAATATGGCCCACCAATTCACTGCTCGGGCCCAGGGCACTCACAGTTTTGATCCAAATTGACAGACACCATTTCGCTCTTATCATATTCTCAGTGATTCTTTTCTTGTTTGATTCTAAACTTCGGAATGAAATTAAATTTTGGTGTTTTATAGAAACCAGTCTCCCTCTCATCAAATTCTCTGTTATTCCTTTTTTATTTTGTTCTCAACTTCTCTATAATTAAAATTTTGATTTTTTGTGCATACGAGCTGATATCTCATTCAACTGCTTTCAGAGTCGGAGGGCTCTGCAGGGTTCATGCAGCCGTCACTCACTACCCCTGCCTCTTGTGGCCCGACTAGCACCAATAGCAGCAGTATGTTCGCAAGCCTCTTCGCATCTGCCGGCGGCCTTCAAAATGCTGCCTTCACCGACCTCATAGGTGCCATGACCCGTCCTGACCCCACCCCACCACCTGTATCCACTACCACCACCACTCCCGCCATTGCCCTTGCCCTCGGCCCATCATCACCATCGATCTCCGCACTCTTCTCCCAAAAACCATCATCATTGGAGCCAAACCCCCATCTCCATTATACCAGTACGACACCGGCCCATATGTCAGCAACTGCATTATTGCAGAAAGCTGCACAGATGGGAGCCACTGCGAGCTCAAACTCCTCGTTTATGAGAGGCCTCGGTTTATTGCCTCAGACTCATCAAGATCAACATCACCATCAGAATCAGAATCATCACCACCCACAGGAGAATTGGACCCACCATACTGGATTGGGTCTGGGCCTTTTGCCGCCAGAGTATGGTGTTTTGCCAAGAGAGGAGGGGGTGGTTAGCATGCAGGAGTTGATGAGCGCGCCCTTGTTTGGGCCTGGAGGTGCATTGGGCTCAGGCTTCAAGGGGGAGGAGATGGGGTGCAAGCCCACAACAGTGGACTTCTTGGGCCTGGGAAGCGGGGCTAGTGGGCCTGGGGGCCTCTCAGCACTCATAACCTCGATCGGGCGTGGGCTTGACATGGCGGCAGCACTGGGGGGTGTCGGGGGCGGGGCTGGTGCGTCTCCGGGCAGGCCTGGTTGGGATGGGAGCTGAGATGCTGTCTATATCTTCTTCTCACTCTGGATCAGGGTAAGAAAGAATTTTCATCTCTGCTCTCACACTAGAATCTAGATTTAGTTGTAACTTTCCTCTCTCTCTATATATATATTTATCTTTATATCCATAGATTTTTGGTGCAGTTTTCTTTCTTGATGTAGTGGTGTATATTTGATAATTTGTGCTTGTAATTGCTCCGGCTGATATGAATCTCTTTGCAAAGAGGTGAGCTGTGTACATAACAACGTATATTCCAAACTCTAAATTTTTGTTTGTTTCTTGCATGCTGAGGTTTTATGAAAGAATTAGAGAAACTGAGACTAAGTAGTTTAAATTTTGGAGTGATCTGGATTGGTATAGTCGGTGGGTGATCCATGACTGGAATCCGAGTTTTAAAATATTGGTTTTTGGCGTGTCTCTCTTCATGTAATGTGCGTTATGTCGTACGACCAATTCAACAGATCAAAAACGGGAAAGTCTTGTGCAATCACGGTGTTAAGACCAACTACTGTTTATAAATGGGGAGGGGTCTCCCATCGGCTCGTTGAAGCTTAGGCCCAAAATACTTTTGTTTGTTTTGTTGGTTGTAAGTCGCCCCGATTCAACTTGAATGAACTTGGTTAGGTGAGGTCCACTTTGAGAAACAAATTATGTACTATCAAAGTATTAATATTTAATATAAGGTTACAATCACTCTTGGCTGTCAGAAGAAAAAAGATCGATATTTAAAAGTATATCACAAAGTTCAAGATATTGTTTTGGAACTTCTAGAATAAAGGTCATTAAGTTTTTACATTTTTAAGGTATTTAAGTTTTTACATTTAATAATTAAATATTCACTGTGATCATGTGATCAAGGTAAAATGATCTTATTGTATATTTTTTTAGAAAAATATATAAAAGTAATTAGAAAAATATAATCTTAGCCGTGATAAAATATTGTAAGCCAGGTAGTTATTAAAGATTTATTATGATACTAGATGATTCTCTTGGGGCATACGACCTCACTTAAGTGCACTAGCAATGATCATATACAGGTGATAATGAAAAGAACGAAAACATGCCGCCTATGTTGGCTTAGACTTGCTGTGGTGATTCAACCTTGGTTGTCGGATTGATAGCTAACGAAAATTTCTCTTTATAGTAGATTACATGTTGCATATTTTGTAATCCGGGTTGTCAAATTTGAACCATGACCCGACCTGTCAGACCCTGAACTGGTTTCATTGGGAGATCTTGACTGAGACCCCGGTTGAGAGCTGCCAATGGCTCGAGTCGAACTTATTACCATCAGCTGGTAAACCATGGTAATCCACTCATTTGTGGGATGGTGATAAAATGCATGATATATATACATGTGACCAAAAACGTCAGAATTTTTATTTATAAATTTAGTAAAAAGCTTATGATTTATATAAGGCGGTACCCTTGTAAAAGCAAGGTCACAATATTTTTTAATTTTATTTAGAGTAATGGTCTTATGAAATTCTCTCACACCCATGTGAGTAGGATTCCAAATAATCACCATCAAATTTTATACAGATACGTAGAAAAGTCAAGTCTTACATCCATGTGATAGTTTTTTTAGAAGTTTGTATGAAATTTATTGATCATCTTTTGGGATCTTATTCATATGGGTACGAGAGGGTCTCATAGTATCATTTCTCTTATATTTAAGATATAGATTTGATATATTATTTGAAATAAATAAAATAAATAGTGTAGATTATTTATATACGTGAAGCAAGTTCCTTGAGGCCTATGGTTTATGAAAGCAAAGCCTCACATGACATCTTCATTCATAAAGCACTTTGGGTATTGGAAAACTCCATGATGACTCAAAAATGAGTTTTTGACATCAATTATGTGGATATGTGAATATTTATTTTTATGGTGAAATAGATGTTTTAGATAACATCTTACAATATACATTATTTTTGAGGTTTTAAATGTTAATTTTCTTCTACCACCATCAGGTAGATGATCAATTTGAAAGTTTTTTTGATGTCAAAACTAAAAGTTCACTTATTTTGATAGAGATACAACTCATTCAGAACATCTCTTTGGATGTTTAATTATATATTACTTCTAGAAGTGACTTTATATAAAAATTTTGATAAATAAAATTAAGGTGAGAACGATTAGTATCACCAACTAATTTTCTTAGCCTTTGCCGAATTGGTTCAATGCAACTGTGAATTTCGGCCTGGTATTTCGAGATGCTAATGTATAAACATTTGTCATTTCTCATAGCCCTCGTGGCCTTTTCTGACCATCTAGTAGAAGTAGAGGGGCAGTTTGGTCTATTATTTTTTGTGAATGGTTAAAGGTGTCGGGATGGGATCAAATGGGACGTGCTTTCTGCATTGGCCACCGACTTTCCTAAAAAGGGGTTTTTGATTGGATATTCTCTCTCTACTTTTCTCCCCTATATCGACTACCTTTCTCTCTCTACTTGATTACACCCTTTTTCTCTGCTTCATTTCTCATCCTTTCCTTTTGTGAACTTTGCTCCATATTAATTTTGGGGAGCCTCTCATTGCATCATTTTAGAGAGAGAGAGAGAGGAAGGATTCACCCATCATCTCATTTTAGAGAGAGAAAGAGGAGAATGATTCACTCATTGAAATGTAAGTTGTCTATCTCTCATGGGACCCACTTTGGATGGTGGGCCACTATTTATCTTGATATCAAAAAGATTTTTCTATTTCTCATCTGTTTGATGGATGAGGGGATGCTTTCTCTAGATATGACTTTTTTTTAATTTTGTAGATTGTTAGTGGTTCATGGTGAAATGTGGTGTATTTAAATTATCTACAATCAAAATTCCAAGGGATGAAGTTTTTTATAAGGCCTACGCTTTATGAAAATAAAATGAAGCCTCATGTCAAATTTTTATCTGCAAATCACTTTCAATAGTAAAAATATCTATGATGGTTCTAAAATCAATTTTTAATACTGATAATAAAATTTAAAACTCAACAAATATTGTAGATTTGGTGGATTTGTGAACAATTATTTTTAGGATGAAATAGACGGTCAGATGATTTGTTTCAATGTATACTGCTTTTAAAAATTGAAATACTATTTTTTTTTTACAATCATAATGTTCAAGGCAATATGATCGATTTAAAGGTTTATCGAACGCTTGAATTACATTTTTCGATAAGTTATGAGATGTGGCTTTACTTATTTTGATAGAGCTGCGGTCCTACCAAACAATTTCCCAATTCTATGCCGGGATGCATGCGTTTGGAATGCTTGAAATTCCAATATGGATTTGTTGACGTCAAATAAAACAAATTTTCTTGGTTGAGGTGTCTATATGGGGTCGAGTTAGTAGGCTTGGGCCCTTTAGTTGGAAGTCCAACTTGAGTGTCTTTAAAAATAGTAATATATATAAATATATATAGAGGCAAGCTTTCTATGCTTCCTCTACAGCATAGAAGTTTTATCCTCCCTTTATCCAACTATCCGTTCTGAATTGGGGGTTAAGATTGTCTCGATCACAATGTCATGTCTCTACACTATATTATTTTAAATTTTTTTTCTATAAACTATTTTGATACCAAATTTTGGACGTTCATTCCTCTATTAAACTCGCACTAGCGAAAAATATATAAAAGAAATATTTTCAATAAAATAAAACGACCAAAATGCTCTTGAAAATTTCAAAGGGTATTTTTGCCATTATATTTTATCAAAAAGATATTAATAATATTTTTTATAGGTACGCCCCAATAAGAAGATGACACATATTAAATTTCATATTCATACAATTTATATTAAAAAAAACTAAAAATAAAATATTTTGGGACATCGAATCTAAGATCAAACGGTGAGTGGCTCTCGTTATCAAAATTGGATGGCTGGATGGTAGGGGGAGGATAGAACTTCTATGTTGTGGGGTAAGCATAAAAACCTGCCTATCTATATATAT